AACTAAAGATGACGAACGGTGCGATAGAAAGCGATCCCCGACAACCTTTAGAGCAGCATTTGAGGAACGGGAGCTTACGTTTAGCTCATTAGGGAGTACTTCGGCTAAGGTCAACTAAGAAAGTGACCTTACCATAGGACATGTTAGAAATTGTATCATGATGTATGAGCTATGATGTTGTATGAGTTATGATGATGTATGAGCGATGTCGTATGATGGCGTATACTAGTATATAATGATGTATGAGTTATGATGTTTGAGTTATGTTGCATGATGATGTGCGTAATATATATATATATATATATATATATATATATATATATATATATATATATATTTCGATATATGGCGTACTTGATATGCTTGATGCCTTTTATGACGATATGACGAGTATTATGATTGCATGATGATTATCTTAATATGACGATGTTTTCCATATTGAGCATGTTGTATGATGATGAGTGTCATATTACATCATGTCGATAGACCGACATAGGATACAACCCTAAGAGCATAAAAATGATGTTCATATAAATATCAAACGAGCATGTGTTACTTATGTAACAAAGAGATGAGACTAAAGGGTTGTCTTAGAAGAGACGTTATGATAGGAATTAGAGGGACCTCATGCATGTTGTATGTTAATAAGCATAAGACTACTTTCCTTAAAGATGATGAGTGCGGACGCGCACAATATGATGATGAAGGTGTTCATGAGGCTCATGACACTAAGAGTTCCGCTGACCTCTGAACGTCGTTACAAATTAGCTGACCAAAGAGGGTCCAGAGGGTGTGTGAGCCCACCTGGGGATTTACACTCGCACGTGTGGGTTGTGTGTAAGAAAGTACTACACACCATAGTTGTCCGAGACTGAAGACCACCCTTATATGAGCTAGAGATAGGTCCCAAAAGCATGATTGCATGTGTTTGCATTTGCATGGCTCCCTAATGTGGGGCCACTTACTGATTATTCTTCGAAATACTCAAGCCGTGTGCCACATCAATTTTTAGGTAAAGGCAAGACGCATATGTATAGAGGACGGCGACATCACAAGTAGAGACTTTGGCATGTGCATAGGGTAGACTCATATTTAAATTCCTAGTCTTAGGTTAGAATAGGTTGTTTTGCATTTCAATGTTTTAAATTATTTTGTATTTGTTTTTATTTTCTCTATTTCTTATTTAAACATATAAGGCCTTGTGTTTTCGATAGAAGAGGATGTTTTAAATGTTTTCGACATTTATATTATAGATGGTGTTTTCTTTTAAGAGTTATATTTCACACATTAGTAACGACTCTGAGTATATAGAAATTTAGGATCGTTAGACATTTAGTCAAAATCATAATGACCTTTCTTTCTAGAATTCATTTTAAGTGGGCAATTTTATCCAAAAATATGTGTGTCCCTTATTTGTTTGATCCTTTCTTTGTTTTATTTTGTTGTTATTCAAAATTACCTTATCTTGATTGTCTTGAATAGTTTGCTACTATAAGAATTGCTTTATCCATACCTTGGTCATAATTTAGTCACTTTCCCAAATAACCTTCATTTGTGTGTAATAAACATGAGTGTTCCTGAACGTAAAATCAAAGAGTTGAATGTGTGAGGTACTAAACATATTTAACTATTGTTTTTACAATCATGAACTAGGACAAAGAAAATGGAGGAGAGAGATTATTGAAGCTAGGTTGAAAGAAGCACAAACTGGCTATTACTCATTTGAATCAAATTATTAGTGCCTTGATAGGCCGATGGAGCGAACTGAAATAGTTTTAGGTAATCTTAAAGGAAGTGAAGTAATCTTGAATGAAGAAGTAGAAAATGAAGAAGATGACAATATCACCCTTTTAGTTGGACATAATCCTAGGGGAGGGAGAGATGTTGGTCAAGGGAGAGAAAGAGGTAGAAAAATGGGTAGAAAAATTTTAGCACCAAGAAGGATTGAGAGGGAGTACCAATATGAGAGAGGAGAAATGAAAGAGAAGTTGGGGGAGTAAAGATTAAAATTCCAACTTTTTATGGGAGTTCTGATTTATAGGTGTATTTATAATATGAGAGCAAAATTGAGCATGTTTTCGATTGCAACAACTTCAGTGAAGAAAGAAAGTTGAAGCTTGTTGTGACTAAATTTTGTGATCACACAATTATATGGTGGACATCTATGAAATCAGAGTGGAGGAGAAATTATGAATAACCAATTGAAACGTGGGAGGAACGGAAGACATTAATGAGAAAAAAGTACATTCCTAAGCATTATTCTCGAGTACTCAAGCAAAAACTCTATATTTTGCAACACGGATCCAAAAGTGTTGAAGAATATTACAAAGAAATGGAGGCCCTTATGACTAGAGCATGCATTGATGAAGACGAGAAGAATACAATGGCTAGATTCATTGGTGGGTTGAACTGAAAACTTGATCAAGTGGATAGGAAAACATACAAAATAATAGAAAGTTTGAAATCCAAAACAAAGCCTTCAAGTAGCATATGAGTTCTATGAAAGGTATGTAAATGGTTTACAAAATAATGCATGCAAGATCTAAAAAAATATGCACAGACTCCTAGACGCCCCGGGACACTCCTCTGTGGCATTAAGATTCAGCACGCATTCCCGCCTCGAACCATGGCATCACTCACCTTAAAAAAAGAGTAGAAAGGAATGAGTATAAAAATACTCAGTAAGCAGCCTACTTGTAGGCTCTTTTCGCATCCTTATCTTGATAGGTATCCACGGTCTTTCTCGGGTCTCTAAGGAGAGTGATATAACCTACAACTCTCTTTTTTTGTATCTTAGGAGGCTTGCCTATCTTATGCAGTGAAATGGTCAGTGCCTTAAGGTGAGGCGCGACCTCATAAGTAAATCTGAGGGGATCGTATGGCTGGATCTGAATACGGGACTCTCTCTGAACATCATCCGTAGAGGTTAGCTGAAAACCCTCTCACGAGACCATACATCCACTAAATTCAGGGTGCGACCCCCTGTGTGCCGGTCAACTACTAAGTCATCCTACGTGGCTCTACGTCCCCCGCTCAGGGACGGGTTTCGATGGCCCAAGAGTCCTGTTCATAAGACACCTTAGCTATCACCACTAGGTCTGGGCACCTGTCACACTTCCCTATCCGGATCTACCAAGCTCAACGATCTTCGTACCGGAGCTCTGTCTCGACGGTATGGTATCGGAGCAAAGAGGGAAGTGGAGGTTCTGATGACACTACCCACACTACTCAACTCTAGTAGGCTAACTTCAGTTACCGTGGTGTACTACTATCCTTGCTAAGGTGGAACTTGGTGGCTTAGACTTGGATTCATGCATCTCTAGGATTCTCGTGTCTGGTCTCACAAACCTAACGGGTTTGGAATTATGGGCTCTGGATATGCCAGTAATCATTTTGCGGGTCTATATGTACGGTGTTCTAGAGGTCTCCCAATCTAGGATCTCGTCTAGCCTACTTAGCCACAAACACCCTAATCTACGCTCATAATTCCTTCCTATTCAACAAGAAAGATAACACAAGCAATCATCATGCATAGGAGTTCACACGCAACAGTTCATGCAATATCAACAAACATGCTCAACGAGAAGATAACGTCCATCTTCACCCGAGCGTAGATTTTCACAAGTTTCCCAACCTCCTCATGCATACATACATTATCAGAATCTCAATCAAAACAGATTTATAAATATTTCATATCTAGCTTTCCTTAATCATTTCATTTTCGCAGGTTTCATACTAATATGCTAGGTCCGGATAACTAAGTTTATGGGTGGTAGCATGCATGCTTGTTCCTAGCGGTTCTTACAAGTATTGCTAGTGGGAATCGAAATGGCTACTTACTTGGTTGACGCGTGACTTCTTGAGTTCGAGTTTTCTTGACAGAAAGGATTCCAAAAATTCTGGAATTTCCTTAACAAGTCCTAATTCACATAATAATAGGGTCAGTATCAAAATCGGGACGGAAAACAAGCAAACGGAGACCGAACGGAAAGAAAAACAGTGACTCACGCGTGTCACACGCGCCCTGGAGGGTTTCTACGCGAAGCTCCTATGCGCACGTGCCCACGCACGGTGTCCCGAGCAATTGCAGGTTAGAGGCGCTGGGTCGGGCACTTTACAGACAGAGCGGTTCACGTGCGGTGTCGGGTCGGGCCGGCCTGGATCCGCATGTCCGCTGTCGGGTGAGGACGCACCTCGCCAGTTGGTGATCGTCATGTGTCGATCATCGGTTCTGCTGCGCTCCTCCGTACACTGGCCGACGCATGGCGGTGTCTCCTCCCACTCTCCTACGTGTTTTCAATTTTCCAATGTTAGCCTCTTTCACGTTTCAATCAATTTTCTTCCGATTTTTATATCGTCGAATCCGTAATTCGATTCAACAAATTTTCTTCACGAACTTTGTAGATTTCATATTCTACTCCTTTGAAATAATTTTCTTATATTTTTATGATAATCAAAAATCTCAATATTTGAGTTCGAATTCGGAGAAAACACAAGTTCTTACCGAAAATCACGTTTTCTTGAAACTCCGATTCGAACGCCAATCTTGGCCGCCTTCCCTTCGAATCTTAACCAAATAACGCTGTTGAGGGTATGAGTCCAAGGATCAACACAAAACGTCGCTAACACACAAAAATCTTGACGACTTCTCGATCTAGACACTCGTGGACTAACCTGAAGTTCTTGGACGTTTTGACGAAATAGGAAGGTGAGATTCGTGAGAGCACCTTGCCTCGGACTATTGATGGTTTAGATTGAGGACTCGGATCTCCAGCGTAGGTTTTGATCCGATCTCCTCCTCCTACCTCAAAAACCCTAATCTTCTTTCCCTCTTTTTCTCTTCTTTCTCCTCTTTCTCTCCCTTCTTCTTTCTCTTTTCAGATTATGACCCAATCAAATCAGACCCCTCAATAATAATAGGGCAAAATGACTAGTTTGCCCTATTGTGACCTTGATTTTTTTTTTAAAAAAAAAAAACTCGCGCTACAATCCTCCCTACCTTAGGAACTTTCGTCCTTGAAAGTTGATCCTCCCTGAAAGAGTTCGGAGTAAGATCTCCTCATTTCATCCTCACATTCCCAGGTGGCCTCATTGTCTCGATGGTTTTTCCATAAAACCTTGACTAAGGGAATCTCCATTCTTCGTAGTCTCCTTACATCATGTGTCATTATCCCTATGGGTTTCTCCTCATATGATAGGTCCTTCCGAATGGGAAGCGTCTCATGATCAATGATGTGAGTGGGATCTGGGTTGTACTTTCTCAACATCGATAAATGGAATACGTTGTGCACTGCGGCGAGTGTGGGTGGCAATGCTAGTCTATAGGCCACGGGCCCTATCCTTTCTAGGACTTCAAATGGTCCCACGAATCTCAGGCTCAGTTTGCCCTTCTTCCCAAATCTCAACACTCCTCTCATAGGGGCTACTTTAAGGAAGACGTGATCACCCATTGCAAACTCAAGGTCTTTCCTATGAGAATCTGCATAACTCTTCTGCCGACTTTATGCAGAGAGTATCCTCTGTTTGATTTTCTGTATCGCTGCGTCGGTAGTCTGTACCAACTCCGGCCCCAACAACTGTTTCTTGCCTACCTCCTCCCAGAATATAGGGGTTCTACACCTCCGCCCATATAGAGCTTCGAATGGTGCCATCTGAATGGTTGCTTGGTAACTATGGTAATAGGCAAATTCCATAAGGGCCAGGTGCTTATCCCAGCAACCTGCAAAGTCTATTACACATGCCCTCAACATATCATCTAGGGTCTGATTAAGCCTCTCGGTTTGCCCATCATTCTGAGGATGGAAAGCTATACTGAACTTGAGTTGCGTTCCCAACGCCTTCTGTAACCTTTTCCAGAAGTTAGAAGTAAACTTAGCATCCCTATTAGACACAATGGTCACTGGCACGCCGTGTAGGCAGATTATCTCCTTGACATACAACTAGGCCCACTGGTCCACTCGATAAGTAGCTCTGCTAGGTATAAAGTGGGCTACCTTACTCAATCTGTCCATAATGACCCAGATGACATTAAAGCCTCGTTGAGTCTTTGGTAGGCTCGTGATGAAATCCATGCTTATTTCCTCCCATTTTCACTGTGGGATATTCAACGGTTACAACAACCCTGCTGGTCACTGTCTCAGGGCCTTTACCTGCTGACAGGTCAAACACCGACTCACATACTCAACTACATCCTTCTTCATTCTCGACCACCAATAACTACACTTAAAATCTTGATACATCTTAGTACCACCAGGGTGGAACGCGTAGGATGTGTTGTGTGCCTCAGTCATGATTTCTTGTAGGATCTTCTCATCCCGAGGTACGCATAATCGGTTCTGCCACATCAAACCCTCTTCAGAAGAAACTGAATATCCCTCTAGTCTCTCAGTTTCTTGCTGATCCCAGATCTTACTAAGGTGCGTATCAGTTCTCTGAGCTTCAATGATCCGTCTCTTGAAGGTGGGTTGGACTAAAAGTTGTGTTATTTGAGCAGTGATGCCTCTAACCAAGACTTCTACTCCAGCCCTCTATATCTCATCCTGTAGATACTTCTTCCTCGTGATTAGGGCAAATGTGTGGGCTGTCTTTCTGCTCAAGGCATTTGCCAATACATTAGTTTTTCCTAGGTGGTAAAGTATTTCAATGTCATAGTCCTTAACTAGTTCTAACCACCTCCGCTGTCTCATGTTGAGCTCTTTCTATGTAAACAAATACTTGAGGCTCTTATGGTTCGTGTACACCTGAACTCTCTCCCCATACAGGTAGTGATGCCAGGTTTTCAATGCATATACCACGGTCGCTAGTTCCAAATCGTGGGAGGGGTAGTTGCGCTCATACTCTTTCAGCTGTCAAGAGGCATAGGCTATCACCTTTCCCTTTTGCATGAGTACCCAACCTAGCCCTTTTCCTGAAGCGTCGTTGTAAACCACAAGTCCACCTGATCCGTTGGGCGCTGTAAGTACAGGCGCGGTGACCAACCTCTTTCTCAGTTTTAGAAAACTCTGTTCACACTCTTGTGTCCAGATAAAAGGTTTCCTCTTCTTGGTTAACTCTGTCAAAGCTGCAGATATTTTAGAGAAATCTTGTACAAACCTTCTATAATAGTCTGCTAGGTTCAGAAAACTCCTTACTTCAGCGACCGTGGTTGGTCTAGGCCATTTCAAGACTGCTTCGATCTTAGCAAGATCCACAGTTACCCCCTGACTGGATACCACATGTCCAAGAAAAGCCACTTCCTGCAGCCAAAATTCGCACTTCAAGAATTTGACATACAACTGATGGGTTCTCAGTAGAGTTAAAACTCTCCTCAGGTGTTCCTAGTGCTCCATTTCAGACTTAGAATACACCAAGATGTCATCAATGAACACAATCACGAAGGTGTCTAAGAATTCCTTAAACACTCGGTTCATCAACTACATAAACACTGCAGGAGCGTTGATTAAACCAAAAGACATGACTATGAACTCATAATATCCATAGCGGCTTCTAAAAGCTGTTTTAGGTATGTCTTCCTCTCTGATTCTCATCTGGTGATATCCTGATCGCAAATTGATCTTAGAGAACACCGTTGCACCCCTTGCAATTGGTCAAACAGGTCGTCTATCCTTGGGAGAGGGTATTTATTCTTGATTGTAACCTTGTTTAACTCTCTGTAATGTATACATAATCACATAGTTCCATCTTTCTTCTTAACAAATAGCACAGGGGCTCCCCAAGGCGAGACGCTAGGCCGTATGAATCCCTTGTCCAGAAGATCTTGTAACTGTACCTTCAAGTCCTTGAGCTCAGCAGGTGCCATTCTATATGGCGCTTTGGATATCGGTGTTGTCCCTGGTTCGAGATCAGTAACAAAATCTACCTTTCGATAAGTGGGCAACCCTAGAAGCTCTTTTGGAAAAACATCCTCAAATTCTCCAACCACAGGAACAGAGGATACCATTAGACTGGACTCACTGACTTTCGTTACACTAGCCAAAATTGCCCAAGCTCCCTGATTCAACAACTTTTTAGCCTTCAACGCTGTGATGACCCTAAGGGTACTTCTGAATATATCCCCTTTGAATTCAAAGTTCTCTCCTATCAGGGGCCTAAAGGTTACTTTTCTTGCTTCGAAATTGATGAGGGCACGATTCTCGCCCAACCAATCCATCCCTAAGATCACATCGAAGTCTTGCATACAGAGAACAATCAGGGATGCTACAAGCTTTCGCCTTGCAACTATCACACTACCACCTCTAACTCTATGGGTAGCAATAAAGTATTTATTTGTTGGTGTAGACACAGTAAGGGGAAACTCTAGGGGTTCTAGTTCTGGAGTTCGCGTTGCTTCGACTCCCATGTTACGACCCTCTGAATGGGTAGTTGCTCTAGGGCAACATGCAGGTAGAACATGGGAATCTCACGGTGCAACCTAGTGGTGGAGACCATAGGAGGTGTTGATATACTTCCTTCTCCCACTTACTATAAATACTTTCTCTATTCACCTTGCTATTGACTCATGCAAATACCTTCCGAATGGAGGACGCTCCCAGGGCGACACAAGGCCGAGCATGAATCTCACGGTGTGAATTTGAAAAACGATGTATCTCATATATTTTTTTTCTCCCACTAAGTATTTTAGACGGTTGGGTATACTTATTACTTAGTTATATTCCGGCTAATTAAATATAACTTAAGTCTGGGGATTTTTCTAAAACTTATATCACTTAAGCATGCTCATAAAACTGGGCTAACTAAGCTCAAGTACTAGTCCGACCTCCAGGTAGTAGGTGTTCCGTAAACTGTCAACTTAAGTACCTTCAGCCTCAGACAAGATCATGCCAGGTGAGCTTTCTTGTAACCGCAATTTTGTAAGACATCGACCTATTTTAACTATTAAAATTGATCGTACTCGGTTCTTAACCCTGAGTGGGCATGTACTTATCTTTATTATAGATTTTAACGTCTATCTCATGTTATGACGTTGAAAATAACCTATAACATGCATCTAACATGCTTTATATAACAATTATATAATCATCCATTCCATGCAATAATATAACAATTTATATCTATCACTCATAGAACCCTAAACATGCATACTATACATTATAACACTTATAACATACTTGAAATGCATGAAGCATGCTTAGCCTATGGTGGGATTTTAAATCTATATGACATAATTTATGCATATACATTTTCTATTTAATTAAAACATAACTTCATAATGCATAATTAATTAAACACGCTAAAGTGGATTAGTTTTGGCATTTTAAAACAAGCAATTAACTAAATTATTACATTAATTAAAAACAACTTGAACCGCTCCCAAGGATCACGAACTGGGCGAACCAACCCTTAAAAACGTTGAACCGGATTCCAAAGGCAGAAAAAAACATCCGGACTACCTCTTCCATCTTCTTCTTCGGCTCAACTTGCTATCTCTTCCATTTTCGATCAATTACAACCTAAAATGGACTCTAATGACTCCAAAGAATTACAAACCTTTCTTCATTCATTAAAGCCCATACACATTAGGCTTATTACAATAATTGTATCAAATGAAAGCATAAAAAAATGTCAAAACCAAAACCATCCACTTTAGCAACCACAAAATTTCATTCATGAAATGGTACCCACCATGATCAAATTAATGTAAACAAAGTGCCTAAAACTTGCTCTGATACCAATTGAAGGTGTTAATATAACACATGCGGAAGCAATTTGATCTTAGGTACTTTTAGAACATTAATTATAGTAAATAACTAGCATGTTCATAAGTATTAAAACTTAATGAGTTTGAATACTAACCTTTTGTAGTTCAAATTTCTTTTTCCTCACGAACCGGTTTCGATCCACCACTAGTGTCTTCTCCACTATCCTCCGGCCTTAGAACGGGATTGTGGAATCCGGTGAGTGACTAAACTTGGGAGGGATTTTGTATATATGAAGAGAGTGTTTGTGAGAGGTTTTTCTCAAGGTTTTTCACCAACAAGAAGACCTTTCATGTATTATGATCACTCTATTTATAGAGTCATGTTTGCATATTCATGCAAATTTGAGATCACTAAATTTTGACACTCAAAATTCCACTCAAATGTTTGGGATTATGTGGCAAGCATGCATGCCTTAGTTAACCAAATTTTGACACTCAAAATTTCACTCAAATTTGTGGGATTTATTTGGCAAGCATGCAAGTTTGGTTAAACCAAATTTTGACACCTCAAAATTCTACTGACATGGATTTTTCCATTAAATGAAGTTAGCATGTTGTTCATTTTGATTCAACAATCAATTTGAATTATTAATTTCAAATTAAAGTAATATTAAATGATTAATTAAACTATTTAATTAATATTTAATATTAATTCAAATAACAATCCCAATTAATTCCGACACATATTTGATTAAGGTATTAAATCTTATTTAAATATCTCATATTCTCTCTTTTTGTTTAATTCGTAAATAAAACAAAAATGCAGTTAAATATATCGTATATATGTAGCACATTCTCCCTAATTTGAATTCGAACACTTCGAACTCACTCGTCACACTGTTCTATGGTTTAGTCTGATATGAGCTAGCAGAGGGATCTAATGGACCAATAGATCATGGGCTCCAACGATCAAAGATTAACCGGTTAAACTCATTAACCTTGTTAACCAACATTCGTTAACTACTAGGACATTCCACTATAGCCTAGTAGTTGCACTCCCCTCACTATAGATATATTTCTGTTCATTTGATATAACCATGATTAGTAAGTCGATCCTTCACAGGTTGTTCGTAACTAGAGCTGGGTCAATTTACCGTTTTACCCCTAAAGTTACTTCTTGTTTCTTATGTGATATGAACCAAGAGACATCAATCATACAAGATGCTTTAATGAAGATTTGAAGAAAATATTGTTGAAATTATCAAAAGATATTTCAATTCATGCCACATTGAAGAATAATGAAGTTTTATGTTATAAATTTTGGGTAGATTACAATTTAGAGTTATTGTATTTCATTTATGTATTTTAAGACTTTTTATTTACTATAGGTTACAATTACATAATGGTTAATTATGGCCATTAAGTATGAATGTTACAACTCTTGGAATGCCTTTAATAGTTTCATTTTGAGGCTATATAAAGTCATGCATGTTGTATGTGTAAGAGACTTGGAAAATATAGTAAAAGAATCATTTGTGCGTTTCTTTAGCCAATGGCTAAGTTTATTTGCAATTCTATGTAGTTTAGGTTGCATGTAGAATCATTCAAGCTCGACATGATCAATCTTGCTTGTGGAGTGATTCGAATCTCAAACAAGTGTTCTTGCCTTGAGAAATTTGATCAACAAGAATCATTCAAGCTAGACGTGATCGATCTTGCTTGTGGAGTGATTCGAATCTCAATCAAGTGTTCTTGTCTTGAGATATTTGATCAACAAGAATCATTCAAGCTAGACATGATCGATCTTGCTTGTGGAGTGATTCGAATCTCAAACAATGTTCTTGCTTTGAGATATTCGATCAACAAGGTAATCTGAATCTTACTTCCCTTGTAGTGATTACTTATCTTATCATTATGTCTCACTGATCCTCTAATAAACAATTCGTTTGTGGTCCAACCAGTAAACTGGATCCCTCTCAGGCCAATGAGATGGTGGGGCCCCCTATTCAAGACTTGGAGTCAGTACTTAAGAAAACTACCTCTCTTCTATCCCTAAAAGTGGGTAGGAGTGAATTCCATCTTGCACCACACGTCCCCATCCATTTACCCAGTCTTACCCCTGAAATGGGAGGCCTATTGAGTCGGCGAACTTGAGCCACTCTCACCCATGCAAATATAAGGATAATTCCAAATAAACAGGAGTTCATGGTTAGCTCAGGATTAAGATCGAGTTACCTAGGTCATCAAGTGAAAAGAAAATCAGTCTCAACAGTAAACGACATTATAAAGTGAGTGATTTTCTTCATGGTCTGATCTTATGCAATACTCATTGCATAGGACGCCCCCACTCACATGTCTCCACATGTACAATTTTAGTGATCACATTGTTTATATCATATACAAAAGTAGGCCGCATCCATAGTGTCCCCAAAATAAGGTACTCAGTCTTATCCTTATACTATAGATCATTTTGACTATATACTTGAACTTGATCAACTCTTATGTCTCTACATATAGTTCAAGTAATCATACTATAGCCAGAGTGTTCTTAGTTTATTGGATTTAGATTAATGATCGTAAAGTTCACTTTATTCAATAACAATCTTTACTAAATAAACAACAATAATAACTTTATTGAAAATAGAATATGTTTTTGTTTACAAACTATGAGTTTTAGGACATAAAACCCAACATAGGCATCACAGGAATCGGTGCTGGCGCTGGTGGAGCTTCTTCAGGTACCTGATCCTAAGGAGCTGTCTCTAGAATAACTCGAGGCTCGACCTTCCTTCGGCCTCTCCTCGGCACGGGTACCGATGGCAGCGTCTATTCCTCATCCGAGATCAGTTCTGGGTTCTCCTCCAGAGGTGGGTGCTGCTCCACCTCGACTATGCAATGCAATCATGTAAAAGCAAATGGACAAGACGGAATTACAAAAAAAAAAAAAAAAAAAAAAAAAAAAA